GTCCCATCTGGCCAAGCGGTCAACCGCCGTGTTGATCAATATGTCACCATGATCCGGTGGGGGACCCACCGCCGTCAATCTCCCCCCAAGATTCGTATGGCCTCTTCCCGAGGTGCCCATGCGACACTCGGTTTAGGGGGGGATGGCTCCCCTTGGGGGTGAAGCCACCATCCTTGTGTTTTGGACCCCCAATTGACTTTCATATCTGCTGCCAGCGAGAAAAGGTGTATGACTTGGGTGACCGCATGCAGGCTAGTCGCGTCTGCGTTGATGAGCACTGTGAGGTCGTCTGCGAACAGTGACGTGATCGGGATGAGGTGGTCCGGGAGATCCGAAATCGGTATTTTTCTGATGACAGGGTGCGCTCTGATGAGCGAGGCCAAGGCCTCCATTACGATAACGAAGAGCAGCGGCGCTATGGGGTCCCCTTGCCTGACCGATCTTTGGAGTCGGATTGACGGTGATAAGTGGCCATTGAGCATGACGTTTGTAGTTGCAGTCCTATGAAGAAGCTGCACCCAGTGGCAAAAGGTCGGCCCAAAGTTCATTTTAAGGAGGCACATATCCAATAAATCCCAGTCAACGTGATCATACGCCTTTTCAAAATCGATGAACAAGATCACTGCTTGGACCCTACGCTGGAGGGCGTATTTAATGGTCTCATTGACCAGGAGAATGTTATCTTCGATATTGCGATTGGGCATAAACCCCGACTGATCCGGATGAATCAGCATGTTCATCAGCGGCAGCAGACGATTGGTGAGGGCCTTGGAGACCAGCTTGTATGGGACCGGGAGGAGAGTGATMGGTCTATAGTTTCTAATGTCCTCCCTATCCCCTTTCTTGTAAAGGAGTGTGGTAACTCCCTGTCCTATCATTCCGCCGAACGATCCTTCTCTCTGCACAGCTGTAACATATTCCATCAGGTCATAACGTAAGAGGTCCCAAAAACGAGACCCATAATTCCTTAGGAAAAGAGTCTATACCCGGGGTCTTTTCGTCTTCCATTCCCTGCAGGGCCTCCCAGATCTCCTCGGAGGACAAGGCTTTGTCTAGCTCCCCTTTTTGTGCAGTGGTGAGGCGGGAATGAATAGCAAGCAGCAGTGATTCTCTTGCCTGCTTGACATCATCGGGGTCTTTCTGCGGTGTTTGCGATGTGAAGAGATTTTGGTAATACCGGGAGGCATAGTCTCTTATAGTGTAAGGATTGGTGGCGGGCGGGGCAGTTTCATTCAGCGGGTGTTTCAGCGTTGGGACCGTTGCTGCCCTAGATCTAGCCTTCGCCTTGTTGAAGAAAGCCCTGACCATTGTTCCGTCTGTGTGTTCCTTTTTTATCCTTGCCTGGATTCTTCAGGCCTGGGCTTGTTGTTCTATATAGGATTGGAGGTGATCCCGAGCCTCTTGCATTCGTTCGTAGGTCGGGCGGTGAAGCGGATCCTCCATGAGTTGGTCGTCCCAACTCTCTAGTTGTTGCATGAGGTTGTCGAGGGTTGCCCTCTGGTCTCTCGCATGTTGAACGGAGAATTTCTTTGCCCTTTCTCTTAGTTGTGCCATACTAGTATTGAACCAGTCAACCCTGTCCCCTGATTGTGGTTTCTGAGATTGCCAGTATCTCCAAAACTCCTCGACCATATCCTGGCAACAGGGAAGAATTGAATTTGTAAAACCCTGGGTCTCTTTGGATGTGGTTGTGAAAGGACAGTCCCAATGTGATCATCCTATGGTCGAAGGACTTGCATGGGCTGGCCATGGTGATTTCAGCTGTGGTAACCAGTCCTAGCAGGTCCTTCGACACTAATGTAAGATCGATCCTAGAGTTGGAAAGGCAGCGAGCCCCTCTTGCTGAAAAGCATGTGTAGGCTCTTTGAGACGGGTGCAGCATCCTGTATGCGTCCTCGAGTCCTTTATCTGCCATTAGCTGATGCAGCATCAGGATGTCCGGGCCCGGGATGGGCAGCGAAGAAGCCGAAGGTGTGTCGCGTTGCGAGGTTGATCTCCTGTCCATCTCCAGGTCTGGCGTTGTATTAAAATCACCTGCGACAATGAGCGGGGCATCACCCGGGAGGTGTTGCAGGAGGGTGATCCAGAAGTCCACCCTGTCAGTCGGGTCGTTGGGTGCGTATATGCTGACGAGATAAAATTCATCTTCTTCGTGCCCTACTTTAAGGCACACCCATCTTCCGTGGTGGCGATCATAGTCATACGAGACCGGCTTGTTTCTTTTTTGGCGAGTGCAGGTGTAACTGTAATCTTCTCCCTCTTGGCTTCTCTTCGTGTCGAAACATCCGGCCCCTTCCCCTTCGTTTCATTGGCCAGAGCAGTGCATGACTGGATTGGGCAGTGAACGGTCGGGGGCGGGGGAGGGGTTGAGGCAGGGGCGGGGGTGGAAGGGTTGGGGCAGGGGCAGGGATGGATGGGCCGCGCCGGGGGTCCGGGAGTCAAAACCCCTCCACGGCTCGGCCGCCAGAGATCCCCGGGTGACAACCCTGGTTGAAATGACCTTGGCTTCTTCTTCTCCTTTTTTCCTCCATTATTTTGGCCTCCATGGTAACTATGGTATTTACTCTATGACTTGGTGGCAAGTTTGGTTAAAATGACCCTTCGATTTTGTTATAAATGGCATGAGAAGTTGTCTGAAAATTAGGGCCTCCATTAATCACCTCTCTCCCTTGCTGGCTGCTACAACGGTGACATCTCGCTTCACTAACTCCCTGCTGCCTACTTCTCCTCGCTGGCTTTCGTCAATGGCTCAGCTCTCAACAGTTTCATCATTAAAGAGGTGGTCTCGTTTCTTCTGCCTAAATAGGACCTTTTATTGGGCCCACCCTGGTGTGCCCCCCTGACTGCACCTGCATAAGAACCTTTCACTTGGGATGTCACCTGCTGTCTTTTGTCTCTTACTTAGGATCACTGTGACGCTATGGTAATTGAGTCCAGGAAAAGAAAAGAAAAAAGAAGGGATCAATGATGCCTAACCCGCCTTCCAAGTGCTTTCCTGTTATGTAGTGCCAGGCTACCTTTGGAATGGATTCTGTTTATTCCAATCGCCGGACCGAAGGTATGCTCTCGCCCTTTTGCTCAGCCGTGATGTGGTGTGGTCAGGAATGGTCCAAATAGATGCAATGTACCAAATCATCAAGAAAACAGATGCAGTAACTACGAGTGCTTTTCCCAACAGTGATATGAGTGCACGTCTTCCATTTCCCTATCCCGGTTTGTGTTGACTACAACGACTAGGTTTCGAGCCATCTGTGATGCCGGCCCCTTGTTAGTACCTAGGATCCCCAATTACCTGGACAGATTGCCAGGATTATCCCATTTCAAGTTTCCTTCAGGCCCCTTCAGCGGTGGTCTTGGATCGTCTGACAGCCATCCACCTTTAGTCTTGATCCAGTTGACCTTCATCTCAGAGGCCAGTCTGAGAGCTTCCATAGCTCTGGCTAGGGCCCTGAAGGAAGAGTCTGAGGCTAATATCATTTTTCTGCCGTGTCCTTTTTTTTTTTTTTTTTTTTTTTTTTTAGTGTATCGAAAATAGGACCCTGGAACAGGTTTCCAGCCGGCGAAGCTCCCCACCCATGGATTGGAGCAGGTTTCAACAAAAAGGGGAAAAAAAAAAGAAAAAAAGTCTGAGGCTCACATGAACACCATTTAGTAGTGAATTCGAGAGTGGTGGTTCTGAGAATGCTTTAGGATTCTGGGGACTTCTAGCAACTCGCTTTAGGCTGTTTTATACTGGTACATTCATGGATCTGCGGTTGTTCGATGCCAGAACGACGCTGGCCGGTGCTGGGGTGTTGCCATGTAACCTGCTGACTGCAGGAGCGTGAGGCCAGGTAGAGAGATATGGGGATGCTTTGGGGTGGGCATTCCAAGGGACAACCAAGGGTTGCTGTTGGGACGACGCTGGCCAGAGCTGGGGCGAGTCATGTTGCTCTGTAACCTAGCCGAGTGGGAGTGTGAAGCCTGAGAGAGCCCGACAGGGAATAAGACAGTGTTGGATAGTTTTAGAGAGTTTTGTTCGGGAGTCTAGGGGTTCTGAGCCTTCAAAAAGAGGTCAGTAGTCGTTCATAGTTTTTCAACCTCTTTTTAATTCTCTTGAATTTCTTCAGTAGTTCTCAATAGTTCTCAATAGTTCTCAATAGTTCTCAGATTGATTTTCAGCCGACGCCGGGTAATCGCCCCGGTATCTCAAAAAAAAAAAAAAAAAAAAGGGTCAGCCGAAAGTTGTTTGATTTGGCTCAAAAAAAAAAAAAAAACTAGTGGTTTTATTTATTTGTAAGGGGCTCGTTCGACACTCCTCGGGCGCGTAAATTCCCCGAGGAATTGTTCGTTCCACCTATCCTCGGGGATGCAGTCGGAAAAAAAAAAGTGAGAACACTCCGAACACTCGTAAATTCCCCGAGGAATTGTTCGTTCCACCTATCCTCGGGGATGCAGTCGGAAAAAAAAAAGTGAAAACACTCCGAACACTCCGAAGGAAAAATTCCTTGGGCTCCGAGGATTCCCCAGCCATTTCTTCCTTTTGCCCAAGGGACCTCACGAGGTCCCTTGGGCAAAAGGAATCCGCGTTTCACGGAGAGGAGCGGGCACATGGGTAGAGAGACGTTAGAGAGACGTTACAACCGAGAATCTGGATCGTGGCGGCACCCTATTGGCTGAAGGCCTCAAACACATTTTCTTTTCTTTTCTTTTTCTTTTTCTTGTCTGACATCGCTCCAAGGAAATGTCCTCGGGCGACGTTCCCGAGGACAGGTGGAACGATGGCGGGAATTTCCTCGAAAACCCCCAAGGAAACTTCCTTGGACCCCGAGGACGCCCCAAGGAGTGTCGAACGAGCCCCTAATTCTGCATAACGCTTTTTTTTTTTTTTTTTTTTTTATTTTATAAACCGCTCCGTCTATTGGTGGGGAGCATCACCTGCTGGAAACCGGGTCCCAGCGTCCCTTGAATACATCAAAAAACTTGTATAAGTTCGTATAACAACATTTTTAGAACAATTGGAACCCTGCCAGCATTGATTGCCCTGGGTTACAGGGGATTTACTGTGCAGGGTGCATTTCCTTAAGGAAAAAACACTGCCGTCCGTCGTCTGGGAAGAAAGAATCAACGTAACTCGTTCGGGATTTTTATTTTTTTTAATTTTTAACTTTTTAATCTGTTTGTGCTGGGCTGTCCAGGACCTTGCCCAGACCTTGCCCAGACCGTGCTCCGACGGTATCCTAGATTCAAGGTAAATTTTGAATGATTTATTTCCCATGCATGGACTGCCATTTTTCAGAGCGCATCCCCTTTGTCAAAATCACTCCTAAGACAACACACCTCCCCTCTCCGCCCCTTCCCTCCCCTTCTTTCCCAGCTTCCCTGTGACAAACAATTTTGGTTGAAAACTTTTTTTTTTTTTTTTTTTTGGTTGAGAACTCAGGAGCAGGTGAGGAAATTTGTTTTTCAAATTCCCACCGGATGCATAGCGTACAGTCAAATTTGATCAGACCCATGAACCAACTGTCCGATCTTATGACCGAGACAAACCGATCATCATCATCTAGCCTTCCATGGAAGCTCTCCTGTTGGTGGAGGCATCTTCAACTGCTTATTGTCAAAAAGAAGCATCCCGTACACTCCTGCTCCCTGACGCAGAATTAGCTCAGTGATCTGCCGAGCCAAGCTACCCCAATCCACATCTGGGTCTTCCGTGCTGCCGCCCAAGTTGATCTGCCACATCATGAATACAGTCCATTCATCAACCCAAAGAAAAGTTTAAGTTTTGTTGTTACAAGGGAAAGGATGTATATCATGCATGTGACATGTATAGGGTAGATTCGTGTAGACATGACACTCGACACGCTTTCAGCCCATTAACAAATGTATAATTGGTACTCTGCGGCATCAGTTATAAATTGAACAATGATAAGAGAGAAGATGAGGGGGGAGATTAAAAAAAGCATGGCCGCTGCAAACGGATGCCATCTGTAGTCCAGAAATAGTCCAAACATCTGCGCTACCTGTCGAGGCCCTCAGGATCGCTTCGGGTGCCTGGTTGCCCACCTGGATGGGGCTGACGGCGTCCCAAGCATCATCAGCAGATTCAGCACAGAACGAAAAAAAAAAAAAGGAAAAAAAAAAACAAAAAAAAAAAACAAATTTAGCATTGTTCCATTGTTCTACTGTTCAGCAGTTGTGCACAAACATTCCGGTCGTTTTCAGCCGAAGCAGGGTAAAGCCTCCTGTATCTCGATTGACCTGTAAATATTTCCACGAGGGACGCTGGGCCCACTTCCCAGCATGTGATGCCTTCCCACGAATAGTTTGGAGCAATGTTTTTTGCGATTTAAGAAACAAAAGGGGGGGGGGAGGGGCTGGCGTAGCTCAAGTAGTACACCCATGAGCTGTTGAAATACAGATCTCAGTTCGAACCCAGACGGACTCAGATCAGTAAGGTAACGCTGCATTTACCTGTGGCCAGTCAATTCAAGATGATACGGTTGATGAAAAGAGACTTAGTACAGACTGTGGTTGGTATGGTAGGTTTCTTGGGGTAAAGATTAGAGTAGGGGGACCCGTTGCTAGTTGGAGATCTGGGGGGTCAGCCACTAGGCGTGGGAGGGGTTAGGATGAGGGCTCCCCTTAGGACAGCTTGCCCGTGGAATAGGAAACAGTTGATGATAGTACAATCCATGGTCGATGTCTGTCTGAACTAGGACCCTACAGACTGCCCATGATACAAGGAAACTCCCAGTCCCCCTTCCTCTCGACGTCGTGCTGATGCTAATCTGCGGGGTTCTTTGTCTTACCGACAGCCTGCTCTGCCACGTCGACGGCGTTCGTCGTTTACGCGCCGACCCCGCCAGATCAGATCTGCCTTTCCAGTGGTGACCGATTCGGATCTGCGGGTAGACATACCAAATATTTGTGGTTTGACAGCCACAAATGTCTGCCTACAGGCTTATCAGCATCAATGTTATAGTGCATCCCAATTTCTTACGATTGCTTATCAGCTTGACGCTGTTGAAAATCAGTTGTTGTTTGACCATAATAGTCCACCTGCAGAAGGTAGTAACTATACTACCTCCGGAGGCTTTACTGTAAATGTCTTACAGTTAGCGTTTCACGGTCGCCACCTTCTTATGCATCATGCGATGCCAGGCGATGACCTCAATAACCATCCAGTTGATGAAAGTGAGACTTGGTACAGTCTATGGCAGGTACTGGTAGGGTTCCTGTGTCGGGGGGGGTCTCCACAGGATAGGTTGGGTTGCCTGCCTCCTATGTTCGGGTTACTATCTACAAAAAAGAACAAATACTGATGACAACAGTGTGCACAGCGAACAACCTAACAACAGTAACAACAGCTGTGTACACAAAAAATGATACGAACGCAAAATAGGTCCACATATGGGACTTGTACTGAAACGTCTGTACCTAGCACCTGAAGTACCTGGGCGACAAGGCTCACACAAATATGCTTCGATCAGGGCTGAGTGGGGTGTGTGGGACTCAGCTTAGCCCTGGTACCTACAACCACAGTTCGGTCAGGTCACCCCCAAGGCTGGAGGGTGACGATCCTGAGTGGTAGACACTGAGGTAGGATAGTGGGAGTAGTGCACGAGGAGAAGTTTCCGAAGAGGTAGGTTGGGAGGGAGTCCTATAGGATTAGGGGGCCTCTACCACATGGCCGAGTGCCGAAGGTGACTCTCATATGTCTGTAATCCAGCCTCTACAACAACCTGGGCTTTTCGGAAGGAAAAAAAAAGAAGAAAAAAAAAAAAGATGATATCTCACAGCCATTGCCCTTACAAAAAAAAGATAATGTAGGGATTAAAAAAATAAACAAAAAAAGGGAAATGGGCTTGAGATATCACTTTTTTTTTTTTGGGAGGAAACAACCCCGGGATCAGCTTGAAGCGCTGGTAGGAGCAGATGCCTCAAGCTTTCTCGGAGGAGGCTCCATCTATTGGTGGGGAGCCACACCTGCTCGAAAATTGGCCCAGCGTCCCTTTACACATTTGTACATTAAAAAACAGGGACAGGTTGAAACATGTGGGGGGATTGCCTTGTCAATCAGACGGCAGACCGCCATTAATATTCAATGAGAGTCATTATGAGACACTAGCTACTCTCCCCCTTTATTTACTGTACGTTGGTCAATGTCGAGGGTGGCCATCATTGAACTGACTGGCCCTAGGTAATTCAGAATTGTTGTACTCTTTTCATCTTGTTGTACTCTTTGCATTTTGATGGCATCTGGGTTCGAACTTGGGTCTGTATTTCAACAGTTCATGGGTGTACCAACTGAGCTAGGCTCGTTTGTATCTGAGGAGTTTTTCTGCCAGATTATTCGAAATGGTCCTGAAGAAGATTGGTGTACAAGTTATGGACAGAGAATGGTCGATTGGGACTTCTCCAACAGTGGATGGGGAAAATGGGATTTGGCCACAAGTTCAGGAAGTGGATCAGACTGTTATACAATGATGCCTATCGGGGAGTACAACCCATCGAGCACATGTCAATTTTTACCGGCTGACTAGATCGGTGTTCCAGGCAGGATCTTGCTGTCAGCCAGTCCGGGGTCGGAAGGCACCTGTGTATGATTTGCCACTGTAATGCCCTGTGGGAGGTGGGCATGATATGAGCGTGAGCGGTCCATGGGATATGCCACAGGTTCTCCTCCTCTACCGGGGAGTCCCTTCTCCACCTTTCTCGTACTACTGGTGATGATGGGACACGTGCGTGGACGTGTTTGTATCCTTCTCTCACTGTGTATTGCCAGATAGGGGTCGGGTTACACCCTTTCCACTCCCATTCCTCAGGGTCGAAAGGTAGGGCCCCCACGGGGTTGGACATTTCATATGCGTAGAATCCCGTAACTTCAGATCCTACTACTCTAATTCTAATGAGTCCATCTTCTTCACTTGTTCTGTCCAGAATAGGAGTCCTCTTTAGGGGAGCCCATCTGGCCCCTGGCACGTCCGGTTCGAAGGCCTGCAGTCTCATGCCATCGTGGGTGGCGTTGAGTACTCTGTAAATAACCATCGGGATTTGGTTCGGAATGACTCGAGTCACCCAATCATGAGTCCTTATCGATGGTCCTTGTTGCAATGTAACCACCGATTGTGGTGGGACTGCTGAACACAGTTGGTGCAGTTTATCTTGGAGCCTTTTAACGTTTTTGAGTGTGGGCTGCAGCTGTTGTAACGATTTCCATGTTCCTGCGCGACTGTCCCACAAGTCCCCCACCATAAAAACTCCGTTTTTAACCCATGTGAGCCAGTGGGAGCCGGTCGATAGCGAGAATGGCTCCCCTGCAACATCACCGATGTACGGATTTCCGAACATTGGCTGTCGCCACAACTCATGCCATCTCAGAGGGGGGGGCTTTTGTGTTGGCCCCATCTGTCTCCACAGTTCCACCATCGTGGTCCACAGGGGGTCATTCTTAAGATCCCATCTGGTCCTGTTCCGGGGCGATCCATCCCTCTTGCGCCTCGGGGGGCATGGTAAGAACCATGCCGCATTGACCAACCAGGTGAGGAGGTGAATCTGATGGTGAGGGGGAGAGGGAGGAGCTAGGTGTGACAGTTGGATATACGCCAGGGGCTGCCAGGGAACGTCATTGGCGAGCAGCAGGTGAGTAATTATTTTAAACATCAGCGCTCTGATCTCGTCACCCGGATCGAGGATGCCCAATCCCCCCACCGCCTTTGGTTGGGTAATGTACGTCCATGCCACTCTCTTGATGCATTTCGTTTTGGCATGATCGTTTCTCCACAAGTAGGCTGCCAATGCCTCTCGCAGGTGCGCCAAATGCTTTGCGGGGATCTGCCAAAACGCTGTTTTGTACCATATGGTGGCCAGGATAACGTTATTTATTGTCAGCGCCCTTCCCACCAGTGAAGTGGGCAGGCCGTCCCATTTGGCCAGTCTTTGCAGGGCTGTTTGGACCAAAGCTTGTCCGTGGTCTAGCGGGGGACCCAGTGCTGTAAGACGGATACCCAAGACCCTTATTGCCTCCTCATGAGTTCTCTAGTTGACCGGCGGGTCTTGTGGGGGTTGGGCGTTTTGTGGAGAAAGCCACCAGCCTTCCGTCTTGGTCCCCCAATTGACCTTCATGTCCGCCGCTATGGCGAAGGTCTAGATTGTGTCTGTTAGTGCTCTAAGGGATGCCTCTGAGGCGTTAATGAGGACCTTGAGGTCATCGACGAACAGGGATGTCACCGGTATGGATTGCGTGGGCAGTTTCGGAATGTCTATTCTTTCAATGTTTTGGTTGATCCTGATCATTGCCGCCAATGCTTCCGTCACCAGCACAAAGAGGAGCGGGGCCACCGGATCTCCTTGCCTCACCGATCTTTGGAGAGAGAACGGGGGGGGAGAGATGGCCATTTACCATGATGTTAGTTGTGGCTGACCTGTGCATGGTGCACACCCATGCTCTGAAGGTAGCGCCAAAGTTCATTTTGAGCAGGCATGCGTCCATGAAGTCCCAGTTCACGTGGTCGTAGGCCTTCTCGAAGTCTATGAACAAGATAGCCGCCTGCCTGGCATATTTGATTGTCTCATTCACGAGGAGGACGTTATCCTGAATGTTACGTTGGGGCATGAATCCCGTTTGGTCCTGGAAGATCAGGTGCCTCATATGTGGGAGCAGGCGGTTAGTAAGTGCTTTGGACACCATTTTATAAGGTAAGGGGAGGAGCGTGATTGGCCTATAATTC